GCTGACGAGTGACGCGCTCCGTGGCTCGACTACCTCCGGCTTGAGATGACTCAGCTTGATTCTCGTTTTGGCTTTCTTCTTCTTCTTCGGCGACGACCAAGTCCAGATTTGGTGCAGCATCTCCCTCCTCTCGATACACGATCCGGGAAAACTTGGCTTCAGTGATGAAACAAGTCTTCTTAACCGGCACCTGAGTGTCTCGAGTAAAGTCTATTTTGCAATGAGCAAGGATATGCATAACGGGGATGGCAAACCGGAGATGGGAAAAACGAGTGCCATCGCTAAGGGCAACGATAAAGAAGTGAACCCAATAAAATTTGACATCGTTCAACAGGACGTGAAACAAACGAATATCGTCCTTGTTGATGACGCCATGGTTCGAATCACGGGGCAACAAAACATATGAAAAAATGTATTGTTGGACGCGTTGAATTAAAGTGAGATTAACGACACTCGGGTTGCTAGAGTTTCTACACTTGAGGTCACGATGATCCAACTCGAGTTGTCGCCAAATTGCCTCATCTTGGAATGTTTCATCCAAGTTTTCGGTAATTTCACCACGACGAAGACCAAACAACGAAGTCAAACTGGCACCGTCAATGAAAACGGTTTTGCCGTCAACATAAGAAATGAGAGATGGCGAACCTCCCTTAGTGGTACGAAGATTTGCATAAAATTGACGTATAAGATTTGGACAGAAAAATTCATACGTCAAATGAATGAACCGAAGCAATCCTTGTTGAAAGAACATAGACTTACTCGGGGCATAGGTCGCCGATTTGAAGAGGTCCTTGTTCACGATCTTGGGGGCGACGATCTCCTTCGTGAGGAAGATCTTGTGGAACCTCTCGACTGAAGCCCCAGTGTTGAAGGCGAGACCCGTTTGAATGTGAATGTACTTGCTTCCTTCGCGACGCCATGGCCTCTCATTTTCCTCTACCGTGGTTTCTTGACCCGAGGAAGCGTTCTTGCACCTTGGCATCCTTCCTCTTTGAAATTGATAGAGTTTGGTGAGAAGATTGGTGAGAAAATGGAAGAAAATTGAGAGGGATTGAAGAGGACAAGTGTAAGGGTTTTTGATCGAATGGCGCAGAGAATGGCGAAGAAGACGATGCCTGCGCTGGATATAGGGCGAAAATCGAATATTAATCGATTAAAATGTAGTATTTAATCGATTAAGGAACACAGCCGAGGCAAAATCGATTAAATGAAGCTTATTAATCGATTAGAAGAAGCAGAGCCAAAACGTCTCTTTCAAGATATTAATCGATTAATTATAGAAGGTTAATCGATTAAGATGAACAGATGAGTCTAATCGATTAATTGAACAAAATTAATCGATTAAAAGGTGAATCCGCGCTAAAGACGTTTTGCAAATTAATCGATTAAACAGAAACGATTAATCGATTAAGAAAGACAGAGGCGACTAATCGATTTTTCTTTGAGGAATAATCGATTAAAATTTGTTTGAGAGAAAAAAAATATCAAGTCCAATTAGGTTGAATACCAAGGGAAGAGATACCTACAATAAAAGCCCTGCAAAAAGAATTATTGCGCCTCCGACGCTCAAATTAGTACCATCAATAAAAAGAATAAATTAGTTCATAGAGATATCCAAAATGCCAAGTTCATTCCGAATGTGAAAGAAACTCTCCCTACTAAGGGGTTTCGTG